TCTAGAAAAAGAGTAACGTAATCTTAATACTTCTGTTACTCGAAGAGAACAAAGCGATCTCTTACCCTTCTTCTTAATTCCAAATCTAATTCGTCGTCTTTAGGTTTCGTCTTCTTCCCCCAAAAATTAGCTTCTTAAAGCTCCCAATTTTGTTTACTTGCTGGTAAGTAACAACGTTTTTAATCTCTTTTGAAGTAATATCTAATTCATGTTAAAACTTTGGATCTGCTTTTATTTGTGCCTTTTGGGATTCTGGGTTTTAATCTGTTCATGAGCAGAATTCAATCTTGCTTTTGCAATAATAATGAAAAAATCGCATCAGATTTCGAATTTTATGATACGAAAACTCATGTTTGTTTCTTGGGACTATGTTTGTGTCTCAGTTAGGAATCAAGACAAGTTTCTCAAATTTTCCATTTTTGGGGTTGTTTGATTATGTTTGCTCTTTTTTTAGTTTCAAGCTTTATATTACCATCTCACATGTTTTGCTTTTAACCTCCACTTTTTGGTTAACCTCTACTCTTTGACATGTAAAATCTCTTACTTGCATTCATTTGTGGACTGGATCTGAATCTAAAGATGACATTTTTATTCTTGTTCAATCTCATTGTGATACAGATAACAAATTTCCAGAGACTGAAGTTTCCATTGAATGATATTGTTCTTAGTGACCTTAATCGGATTCAGGGCATGGCGAACCGAACAGACAACTCGACTCGCTGGTTAGATTCACCAAAATCCTGAGCTCATTGCTTGATTTATGTATAACTTGATCCAGTTTATAATGGATTTGTACGTTTGTTTGCAGTTCGAATGGTAAAAAGACAAATGATGGAATGAGACTTATTATAGCCACATTCGTAGGAATAGTTATCGGTTTCTTCTTGGGGATATCTTTCCCTACATTGTCACTAACAAAAGTGAGCTATGTCTTTAGCATTTTTTTGTTCATATATATTCTCTCAAGACTTTATGCTTAACGTGTTTCATGTCCCCCAACTTGAATCGTTCAGCTTAATTTTCCCTCTAGCATTCTTCCTTCTGTTGATATTGCTTACGTAGAAGATGAGACACCAGATGCATCGAGTGAAACGCTTCTGCACACATGGTCGTCTAGGAGTCCGTTACATGGAGCTAATTCGAGTGATTCTCCTCATTGGAAGGCATGTTTTTCTTCTCTTTGATCTTTTAATAGTAGTGACAATATCTTGCAAACTAATCTTGATGAGGAATCCGCAGATATGGGTTCCATCGAATCCCCGAGGTGCAGAGATGCTGACTCCAGGAATCATTGCACCTGAATCAGATTATTACTTACGCAGACTTTGGGGATTACCCGAGGAGGTAACACACGATTTTTGACCGTTTAGCATCTCCTCTAAAGAATTTTTCATCTTTTAGATAAAAAATCTTGTCTTTCGAACAGCATTCAATTGTCTGATCGCGGGGTTGTTCTCATGTCTTGCTTCTTTAGGATATACCTGTGAAGCCAAAGTATCTCATTGCTTTCACTGTTGGTTATGGTCAGAAAGTAAACGTTGATGCTTGTGTCAAGAAGGTAAAATCTGATGCTGACTCTCCTTTCTTTCAGCAAAAAGCTTAAAGAGTCTTTCTTCTTTTTTTCCGCAGTTTTTAGAAAACTTCACAATTGTTCTGTTCCACTATGACGGACGAACCACCGAATGGGATGAATATGAATGGTCCAAGCGCGCAATTCACGTGAGCGTGCCAAAGCAAACCAAATGGTAAACATAGTTATTCATTGCTCTAACTATACTACAATTTTCATATTGCTGGCTTTTTTAATCTTTGATCTCTCTGGTTTTGATTTCATCACAAGGTGGTATGCTAAAAGGTTTCTGCATCCTGACATCGTGGCACCTTATGACTATGTATTCATCTGGGATGAAGACCTCGGCCTTGAAAACTTCGATGCAGAAGAGTGCGTCTTCTTGCTCATTTCTATCGAAAGGTTTTAAATAGCTGCTCGAATTCCTAGTCCAGAAAATGTGAATTTGTTCTTCTCTCTCTTTCTGCAGGTATATCAGGCTTATAAAGAAACACGGTCTAGAGATATCGCAGCCCGCTGTAGAGTCTAAAAAGAAGATCACTTGGGAGATTACAAAGAGAAAAACCAAAGGAGAAGTTCACAAGTGAGCAACTTTTTATGTTTTGAACCTTACACACGCAAAAACCTTTAACTAATCATTTTCTTATGAAAAATCTAATCAACAGAGACGCCAAGGAGAAACCTGGTCGATGTAACGACCCTCACTTGCCTCCATGTGCAGCGTACGTAATCTCAATTTTCATTACAAACAGCATAGATGTATATACAAGAATCTGATTCCATGTGAGTTTCTTACAGGTTTATAGAAATTATGGCTCCAGTATTCTCACGAGACGCCTGGCGTTGTGTCTGGCATATGATTCAGAACGACTTGGTTCACGGTTGGGGTCTTGATTTCGCACTTCGTAAATGCGTCGAGGTTAATCATTTTCTTACACTCTTTATTCTTAAAACATCGAATTGCAACATTAAATACTAAAAAGTTTTCATAACATAATTACAAACAGCCTGCACATGAGAAGATAGGTGTTGTGGATTCTCAATGGATCATTCATCAGACTATTCCTTCTTTAGGCAACCAGGTTCTTGATCAGACATTGTCAAGTACGTTATAA